ACTCCAGTTATAAATTAAGACTTTTTTTTTTTTTTTAATTTGTGGTGATGGAGCAAGTCCTCTATCACGGGGCTATCCCAAAGCCCGGGAGCGAAGTTTTTAACTGATGTTAATGGCTTGGATTAAAGGCGGAAGAGAAAATATAGCACCGGCTTTTCCTCCCAACTCTCTTCAACTAAAACGACTGATTACTTGTCACCAGTGGAAATCAATGTGGTTAAACGCTTTGTGACGACTGCGTCAGCATTAAGCCACAGCGAGCGCTGGTCATGCCGGGTTAGTCTTTACCATCTGTGACCTAACACGGTCTAAAAACTGTTTGAACGTGACAGTAGCACGTCAACTCCCGAGTCACAAAGAAGACCTCACACCCATGAGAAACACTGTCTTGTAATCACCGCAGGAGGCTGTGTCATAGCTCAGCACCTGTGCAAAATGAGTGAGACCCCTATATCCAAGGGCACCATTTACAAAAGGACAAGACTCCTTGGCTCAGGCTGGTCCGTTTGCAGAGCAGGCCCAGCCTCTCTGGAGGCACAGGACTCCAAGAGGGTAGATGCCTGAGTAAAATTAGTCATGCTGAGTGGGTGAAGACCAAAAGTTGTCCCACTGTGGCGAATAAACTCAAGCTGCCTTTGCCTCAACTTCAAATGATAATTTTCTACTTAGTGTAGTATAGACCTGAAGTAAGATTACTCTAGATGGTTTGGCCATCCAGAGCTAACTGCTCCTCTCCATCCTTCCTGCTTTCTTTTTGTCTCATTAATTGGAATGCTGTAAGGAGAGTAGAAAGTCAGTTCTGAGTTTTCAGCTATGAATATGTATGTTTCAGTATGAATATGTTGCACCGACTTCTTCAGCATGAGCATCTAGCAATCCCATCAGCATATTAGATAACTCCGGGGGAGAGCAGATACCTAACTTCCTGACTTCCCACCACGTACTGGGCAGGTTATTCCAGCAATGATCTTACTGTTTTATCTTCATACAGCATATTTTTTTAAGTCTCAGCTCAAGTCTGCTCCATATTCTAAGAGAGTACAGCTTCCTTTTTTGCTATTTCCAACTACCATCTTACACTGTCAGGTTTTTTTTTTTTTTTTTTTTATGCGACATCTTTTCCCCACTTGTTCCTTAACTGGCAGCAGCTTTTGAAGGGTATCACTTTCAGCATTTTGAGTTTTGTGGCAGACTACAAAAAAATAACTTTTATTCATAGTGGATGAAATCTGGCACTAGTCTAATATGCGACAGCAAAATGGCTTAAAAGCCTCCAGCATAATCCCAGGAGATTCCGCATTTTAAAACCATCTTCCTCTCAGACCTCCCAGGAGAGTAGTACCCAGTGCAGGGCGACTTTTAAATAATATTTTCCCACTCCAAGTATGAACGGAGAACTGCTTTAACTCATGTCTACTGGGCTAAAACCGGAAATAGAAGATGCCTGGATTTCAGGCTGAGAACGGTAACCCTGTCGACCAATAAAGACTTATTCCGTAGGTCCGTCAGTCCCTTGCCTCCTGTCACCATTTCACTGGCTTTTGCACTTGCTGCCCTGCCCTAAGGATCCTCTCCTGTAAGCTCCACCCTTCCTCATCAGTGCTATCTTCTGTGTCCTCCAGAAAAAAAAAAATAACCTTCTTGATTCAGTAATTAAAATGAATGGTCTGTTTTCTCCTAACTGAATTCCTTCGTCTAGTCTGTCCATCAGTGCGTTTCTAAACTCTGTTCCGTCATTCTGTCTCCGGGTTTCTGACCATTGCAAGGGAATGTCTCATTGGTGAACACTGATTTCCACACAGGTTTGACCTCTAACGAATGTTTCCCATCTGAACGTCACTCTGATCTTTCTCTAGATCCTCAAGAGTTTAGAGGTCTGGCCTGTTTAGCCTCCTCTCTTACACTTGACCCTTTCCTTCTTCCCATGTTTTTCTGTGGTTCCTTTGTGTAGTGGCCCCTGGGCTATACACACCACAGACCCCAGGGATAGAGGTGGACTTCCTTCTCCCTCTCTGTTGCTGCTTATGGAACACGGCTCTCTGACCTTTGAAAATACTATTGGGTTGTATCAATGCTGTGGTGTAGACATGGTTTGTCCTGCAAAAGCATGTGTGCCAAGCTTGCTTCCCATAATAATATTGAGCGGTAGTTGATATTTAAGAAATGGGGCCTGGTAGAGGTGATTAGATCATTGGATACCACTCTTGAAAGGAATCAATACTTTCTCCTGTGTGTGGGGGGAATGGGTCAGGTTTTCGGGGTAGAATTATTTCTCAAACCAATGAGTTTTTGCGAAGTTAGTTTTGTTTTCCCAGCTTGTTCTCTTGCTTCTGTTACTTCACACAGTTCCATGTAGTGAGGCCGAGTACCCCACCATGGGCTGAACAGGCAGGGAGCCTATCAGTTGGAGATTTTCATTCTACAACGCTATGAGCAAACTAAGCCCATTTCCATTACAAAACCCTCATGGTCATACATTTTCTAATAAATATCATGAAATAGTCTATGGCAGTCAGAACTGAATTTTCTTGCTATAGGCATCCGTGGGCCTATTTAATGGAATATTCTAACATTTTAGTATTTTCTTTCTTGCTTTCTTTTTTTCCTCCTGCACAGTATATGACTTTTAGAAGAAACTGAATTGTAAAAATTCATGGGGGCATTCATGCCTAGCATCATCCAGAAATTGAACCCTCTTTTAGCCTTCTTCCAGTGTCTCTTTTCTTTATTTTTATCGTTACTTTTTGATTGTTTGAGACTAGGACTCCTCTATCCATGGTGGCCTCAGACTCTCTAGCCTTGAGACCCTTATCTTCCTTCTTTCAGTCACAAAGTCATAGGTTAGCACAGGAATTAGGACCTGCTAACAATGTGGGAGAGATACCCAGCTAGCACACACTTTCTTGGCCTCGGTGAAATTTCTTTTTGTTACTGAAAGTGTTAGACAGGTACTGGAAGTTGATGGAAGCATAGCAGTAATCACAGAGGTCCTGCTAATGGAACAAAACAAAATAAAACAAAACAAAACAAGAAAAAAAAAAAACTTCCTATGAGTAAGCACAGGAATGCCAAAGCTGAGCTTGACAGGGATCAAGAGAAGTTTATATAGTTTAATGTACAGTTATTAAAATGGCTAAGGTGATCAGTCCTCAGAAAGGCAAACGGGATGGACATTGTTAGAAGGAGAAAACAGGCAACAGGACAGAAGCCTACCACAGAGGGCCTCTGAAAGACTCTACCCAGCAGTGTATCAAAGTAGATGTTGAGACTCATAGCCAAACTTTGGGCAGTGTGCAGGGAATCTTATGAAAGAAAGGAGAGATAGAAAGACCTGAAGAGGACAGGAGCTCCACAAGGAGAGCAACAGAATCAGAAAAACCTGGGTATTTTCTGAGACTGATACTCCAACCAAAGAATCCCTGCTCAGAGGTAGCCCATGGCAGCTCAGTATCCAAGTGGGTACCCTAGTAAGGGGAACAGGGACTGTCTCTGACATGAACTCAGTGGCTGGCTCTTTGGTCACTTCCCCCTGATGGGGAAGCAGCCTTACCAGGCCACAGAGGAAGACAATGAAGCCAGTCCTGATGAGACCTGATAGGCTAGGGTCAGATGGAAGGGGAGGAGGACCTCCCTTATTAGTGGACTTGGAGAGGGGCATGGGAGGAAATGAGGAAGGAGAGAGGGACTGGGAGGGAATGAGAGAGGGAGCTACGGGCGGGGGCAAAGTGAATAAACTATAATTAATATAAAAAATTAAAATTAAAGAAGTTATGTAAATAAAATAAAATAAAATGGCTAAGGTGTTCTCAGAAAAACAACTGTAACTGATAATCTACAGTGAACCAGTATCCGAACTCTTACCCCAAATAAGAAGAAAATATTTAAAATCGTATTGTGTAATAGCAAAACAACTGAAAGTTATTTAAGAGCATTTGGAATGCATGTGGCTATTAGAAAAAAATTGAAAGCATCAATGTGAAACTTGAGCATTCTGAAAATTAGGTAAGTAGTTTGCCAATTTTTTTCTGAAATATTTATATTATATTTTCTTTATAAATTAATTATTTCCATACCTGCCAATAGAAATTTCATTTTGAGACTCTGTGAAGTTATTCTGCAGGGATCCTAACAGAAAACCTATTGTGAAAACTTATTGATAGGGCTGTCCAGACGGTTGAGCAGGTGAAGGTGTTTGGTGTTTAAGTCTGGCAACATGAGCTCAGGCTTCCAAACCCAAATGAAGGAGGAAGGAAAGAACTGACTTCAGAAATATGACCTCTGATCTGCACAAGCATGATGTAACCTCCTAGCCATGTAAACACAATAATAGATAAATAAACAAACACACAAAAATAAACAAGCAAGCGTACAAATATAACAGTAAAAATTAAATATGAACTGTGGAAAACACTAACATTTTATGCAGCATATTGTAAGTATTTTGACCCCAATTTTAGTAAAAATATACGAAATTGCTTATTCTTTACTTCATATTAAAAACATATCTGGGTTGAGTTTGGAGAACTTAGTCTGTATGTTTCTATCATGTTTGAATGTGAAATGTTCCCCTCAGGCTTATGTGTTTGAATACTTGGTTCCCACACAGAGGTGCTTTGTTGAGAGGTTGTGGAACCATAAGGAGGTTGAGACTTCCTGGAGGAAGTACGTAACGGTTGAAGTTTTATACTTTGGTGCCACTTCCGGTCCGGTCCGCCAAAGGTTCTGGACTGCTGATGCAGCGGACGTCATCTTCCTGTTGCCAAGACTTCCCCATCGTCATAGATTTATCCTCTGTGGAACTGTGTTCCGAAATAACCCCTTCTCCTTGCGTAGCCTTCATCAGGCTATTTTATCCAGCGACAGAAACAAAACCAATGCAATCTCTTGCTTAAGGATTTGGCGTTTTAAATTATGTGAGTGTAAATGCCTTTGTCACAAATGTTGAGGTTGTAGATCTTTGCCCTCAATGTATTTTCACACTAGAGGGTCTTTTCTCATACCTTCACTCTGAGCACAGACGTGAACATCCTCGCGTCTTCAGACACACCTCCAATGTAGAATTTCTTCTGGAACACAGGCGGGTGGTCGTTTTCATCCCGAATCTCAATGTACACTTTAGCTGTATTGCCTGGAAGACAAGATATATCTTTATTAGTGATTATTCGCTGGAATAAAAACCCCTAGAGTAATATTTATAGTACTTTTAAATAAAGGAACGTGGGTAACTTCAGAAGTTCATTCCTAAGTGATGCCTACTTCTAGGTCAAGAGGATTCAGGCAAGAGTGTTACAGGTAATGTTACATTTTACTTTAAAATTATTTTTGAGTCACTAGGCATTGGATCTTGGGCCCCATAACTGGGAAGCAAATGTTCCTTCAGTGTGACTGACTCCCAACTGCCACCATTTGAGTTGTGATGCTATAGAAATTTACTTTCCATCTTGATTTGTTTAACTTATTTTCCCTTTAGTAGCCACAAACACACTGCCCAAATCTTCCTGAATATTCACTCCGGGTGCTGGATACCGGCTTACTGAAAACTGGTTGGCACTATGTTAAGTCACATTGATATATACGGTTTTTACATTTCACTAATTGAGATCTGGAGGATTAAAATGTTCACGTGTGTATTTATCAGTACACACACTCGCACACAATTGTGTCTCCTAGAGATGTCAGATGAGCTACACCTGTGAAAGCTCATCAACGTGTGTGCCTATGGATGGTCTGAACAAGGAGGACACCAACAGACACGCTAACCCGGGAGGGGGAAATTCCATAGTGCCCCAAACCTAGACAACCAACCACAGGCAACTAAGGGATGCTGGGAGATAGCAAAGCAGTCTTCCCAGCGATGTCCCCTTCCTGCTCAACTTGTGACCAACACGAAGTGGTCATCCTTGAAATCATGTAGACACAAATAGCATTATGCAGACCAAGCAGGTTTATTTATATATCTAGAAATATATGTATATATAAATGTGTAAATAAAACAACAGTTGAAAAAAAAAAAGAGAGACCACAAATTGGTGAGAGAAAAGGTGTGTTGGGGGGAGTAAGGAAAGAGAAAGTGGAAATTATGTAATTATATTATACTATAATTAAAAACTAAAAAACATCATAAAAGAGTCCATATTTTTGGTGCTTGGTAATTACTGGGCAGGATGGACAGGCTCTGCTCCAGGGGGTCCAGAACCATCTTCAGATGGAGCCCTGAGGTAGTTATTATCACTCTCGGCTTTGGAGGATTAAGAAGAATAGAGGTTACTTAGTGGGCCCAGTCTCCCCGAGTGTGTGGGATGCCTGACATTTGAACACTTGGTAATATCCAACTGAAGAAGACGAACTTTTATGTGCACTGGCCACCACCTCCGCCTCCTCAGAAGCAAAGCAAGGTGTGTGCCTCCCTCCCAGCAAGGGCAGATGAGAAGACAGTGGCTGTTCAATGCAAACGTCGCTTTAGTTGTTTTATGGCTGTAGAGCAGGCGGGTTTCTTTGCACTTTCATTTTTAGTTTTTCCTATTTCCCTGGCGGTTTTCACCACTTCTGACATGCTCCTTGATTTTTATCCCCATTTCTATCGTTTCAACCTCAGTAACATGTTTTATTTTCTACAGAGACCTCACTGCTCTCTGAAATTGGGCTTTTCTGGCATCGGGACAAAAGTAGGAAGTTCTTAATCTGTATTTGATTTGGCAACTTTTATTCAATAAGTAAATAATTAATAAATATTAGAACAGAGTAATAAATCTGACCATTTCATTTTTCCCTCCCTATTTTAGTCTCATTTCCCATTTACCCATGATATCTGATTTGTTTCAATTTGTTATAAGACAGTTAGAATTCAAGACCACTTAATCTTTTTAAAAGATATTTTTAATGCTTTAAAAAATTTTAATAGATAAAATGTATTTTGGTTGGATTATCTGACAGCTGCTGACGAAAACACAAAATAATTTACAACTGCAGGTAGCTGATGGATTCCATCGTGTGTGTGTGTGTGTGTGTGTGTGTGTGTGTGCGTGCATGTATTTGTCTGTCAAGGTGAGCTCAGCTGTCCAGCTTCTGCACGGCTGCTCGAGTATGAAACAGCTAACAGCAATATTTAGAACACGACAGTTAGTGTGGATTCCCTTTCCACTCAGACACCCACTTATCCTCTAGCATTCCAAGAAGTATAATTCAGGTAAGAAAATAGACATTACATATGGAATTTCCCAAAGGCTTACAAATACTCTCTTGTAAATATTGCACATTGGTTTGCCTGCCTGTGTGTGAATATCAGAAGAGATGTGCTCTTCGACCACCAAGCCATCCCTCAAGACATTTTTTTTTTTTCTTAAACAATGGTAGTGTTCCTGTTAATTCTTAAAACAGTTCTGTGGTTGGTGCATGCATCTAAGTTGTCTAACCTAGTTCACACGATGAGTTAAATACTGCTTTAAGGATTCCTCAGCATTAACAACTCAGTTCATAGTTAACAGAAAACCTGATGGGTTTTAACTTAGAGGTGCAATTTACATTGTGACATTTTAGGATTATGGCATCAGCTTACTTACAATGAATAGTTTTTGTCTTTGACAAGACACTACGACCGAAAGTAACTGGGGGAGGAAGGGTTTATTTGGATTATGTTTTCTTATCACTGTCCGTCACTGAGGAGAGTCAGGGCAGGGACTCAAAGCAGGGTAGAGACCAGCAGCATCTGTGGAGAGGCACTGCTTCCTGGCTTGCCCTTCCTGGCTTACTGAGCCTGATTCATCCCATACCCCGGAATACCTACGTATGGGTGGAGCCATGCCAGTAGGCTGGGACCTCCCACTCAGTAATCAAGAAAAAGGTCTAGGTAGTTGCCTGGAAGCCAGTCTTGTGGAGCATTTTCTCAATTAAAGAGTCAGTCCTTTCCAGGTGAAGTGGATAAAACCCAAACAGCCCATATTATCCCCGGTCAACTCGGCAAACAGACCTCGCAAATGAACATTGTTAAACCCTAACCTTCCGTTTCCTGTAGTCCCCAAGATGTCATGTCAATACTAATACGACACTATAAAACATCCCAACTTTTCAAAGTTCCAGGCTTTAAAAATCTTAAACATTTTGAAAGCTCAACCTTTTAAAAACATTTCAAGACTTTGTCTGAAATACCCGACTCTAAAATTTTCAGTATCTCAAAAATTCCAAATTCTAAAGTCTTTTAAATGTGGGATTCTGCTTTTGTTGTTGTTTTGTCTTTGTTTTTCTTTTCTTTTTTTAAGTTACACTCTTTTTTTTTCCTCCAAGAAGGAAAAGTAGGGCACAGGCAATCAAATTAAAGCAAAACTGAACCCCATGGGACACGTGGTGTCCAATGCCAGGGCACAGGGTCTTCTGGGCTCCAGAAGAAAGCTATGTTGGGAGCTGCTAAGTTTCTGTTTGTTGGTCTTTTTTTTTTTTTTTTTTTAAATTTTTTTTCCATCTCCAGAGTCCATGAAGACTTCAATTCTAATCACTTTGTTAAATTCTGGTAATTTGGCACTTTCTTTTTGCAACTAAGTTCAATGTGTGCCTTCTATAAGTTAGTAAAGATGATCATCTTTGCTGGCTGATGAATCTCCTGGCACCTGGCTATGAAGAGTTTAGGAAAAAAAAAATCTGACTGTCAGGCCTCATCTGGGCTGAGAATGGCTCATGATTTCTGAGTTATTTGGAGAATCAGAGGTGTTTGTTCATTTTCTGTTACCAAATCATTGATGTGGCTAATTCAGTAATATCTAAAAAGAGGAAATGCTTCAAATCAGAAATATTTAACGGCGTGCATTCCTCTAGTCCCAAGGCTTTCCTGGCTTGTTCACAGTCACCTGTGATCAACACTAAAGTGTCCCAGGACTTCTTGGGTATTTTAAATGACTGGTATTCAGTTTCATAGAAATCAGTAAATATACAAGATTCTAACATAACAAGCATACAAACTAAAAAACTATTAGTCATTGCTCTGATTTAAGTATGTCTAAGGTTACATTAATTTTAAAAAGTGAGATAATTTAGTATATCTTACAAAAGACATAAAATGTACCTCCAGGAATTGCGATTTAATATAATTTGCCAATTAATTTAGAAATTTATATTTACAACAGTATGTAAAGCTGCTTATGATAGTCAAATATAAACTAATTCACCTCTTCATCCACCTGCTAATTTTAGAAGGATGACAGGTATCCTTCCTTTGAAATGTATAGGACATTAAACAATTTTTCTCTAGAGACATACTTTTCAATTAATTTTAATGCATTTAGTTATTTGAATACTTTTATTTTCCTCACAATAACAGATAGAAAATCTAACTCAGTCACCTATTAGTGTAGTTATAATATCTTAATTTATTGACAATTTCTCCAATGCTACTGTCTCCCCCCCTTTTCCCCTGAAGACAGTATTCAAATTGATTTATCTTCCTGGGGAAAATAGTGACCATTCCTATGCGTGGCAGTTTGAATGGGAATGTAATTCAACCATGATGTTGATGGACTCCTATGCCTCTGAAACTATAATCGCAAATAAACCCTTCCTTCTATAAGTTGCTTTGTTCACAGTGTTTTGTTACAACAAAAGAAAAGCAGCTATAAAGAAAATTCAGCTAACACAGAAATTGGTAGCAGAGAGTGAGACCTTGCTATGATGGGCCTGACCATGTTTTTTTGTTTGTTTGTTTTTATAGGGCTATAGAGGCCTTTTAACTTTGGACTTGAAAAGCAGTTGAATACTGTTTGAGGAAGCTTAGTAGGGCATCCTTGTAGGTCCTTGAAAAACAGTTCTAAAAGAAACGTGGATGGTGGAGACACAGCTTAAGAGGTTTCATTGGAGAATAATCTTAGCAACTGCCCCAGAGATTCTTGTGGTATTTTGGCAAAAAAAAAAAAAAGAATATATATATGCCCCTGTCCTAAGAACTTACCTAGGGCTAAATTAAGAAGTGATGGACTAATTTCTTTGGTGAAAGAGATTTCAGCATAGCCCAGCATTAACCCTGCTGTGTTATCAATAATAACTCTTATGCTCTGAAACATCAGTCAATCCTGTTGGGTTTATGGTAGTTCATTAGGTTGGGGTGAAAGCTGAACAAACACTGTGATATTCAAGGAAGGCAAGGAG